TCTTGCGAGGATTGACCCAGACGGGCTTTTCCGGCTATACTCATACAACATAACCAGGAAGGACGATTGGTCTGTTGTATGGTCAGCCACAACCGACGGATGCAGTCCCAAGGGCATATGCGGGCTTAATGGGTATTGTGTGAATATGGATGTGAATCCTCAGTGCCAGTGTCTTCCAGGATTCACACAAGTGAAGGTGGGCAACGGGACTGCAGGGTGTGAGAGGAACTTCACTGCAGAAAGCTGCAAGACAATGGACTCCACGACTAGATACATCATTCAACCTGTTCCTAACACCATATGGGAGGACGCCCCGTATTCCACTCTAACATCATTGACCAGTGAAGAATGTGTAGCAGCATGTCAGCAGGATTGCAATTGCGAGGCCGTTACATACAACGGTCAGTCCTGCAACAAGCAGAGGCTTCCTCTAAGATTCGGTAGGAGAGTCATTGGCGGGAACTCAAACTCAGTTCTTTACGTCAAGTTAGTTGATGATCGATCTGGTGAAGATGGAGGAAATGGTTTTGTGCGAAAGGAAAAGGAAAAGTATACTAGGAGAGACATTCTGATTGCAGTTGCATCATCTATTGCTTTTGCAATAGTAATGTTGGCGGTGTCTGGAGCCATTGTTCACAAGAATCGTGTCTGGGTTTATGAAATGCTTCCAAAGGAGGGATTTCTCAAAACAATTGAAGATGTTGCTCCTAGATCGTTTTCATTTGAAGACCTGAAGAAAGTGACTGGAAACTTTTCGGAAGAGATTGGCAAAGGAGCTTTCGGAACAGTCTACAAAGGCACGCTGATGAGGAATCTGCACGGAAGCAAAGTCGTAGCTGTTAAGAAACTAGAGAAGATCTCATCCGAGGGAGAAAGTGAATTCCAAGCTGAAGTGAAAACTATTGGAAAGACTCATCATCGGAATCTGGTCCGGCTTCTAGGTTATTGTCATGATGGACCGAATAGGCTCTTGGTGTACGAGTACATGAGCAATGGGTCTCTCGCTGACCTCCTCTTTAAACCCGAAAAGCAAGCCAGTTGGGATGTGAAAATGCGATTAGCTCTTCATGTCGCCAGAGGCCTCCTTTATCTACATGAAGAGTGCGAGACGCAGATCATTCATTGCGACATAAAGCCTCAGAACATATTGATAGATGACAACATGCAAGGAAAGATTTCTGATTTTGGGCTGTCGAAGCTGCTGAAGCCAGATCAGACCAACACCACAACAGGAATAAGAGGTACACGGGGGTACGTCGCGCCAGAGTGGCACAAGAATCTGCGGGTGACGGTGAAAGCGGACGTTTACAGCTTTGGAGTTGTGCTGCTGGAGATCATCTGTGGTCGAAGGAGTGTGGATTGGAGCCTTCCCGAGGAGGAAGCCGTTCTTGAGGAGTGGGTTTACAACTGCTACCAGGCTGGCGAGCTGGATAAACTGGCGGATTATCAAACTATTGACAGAAAACAATTGGAGAGGATGGTTACAATCGCACTTTGGTGTATTCTAGAGGAGCCATCGCTTCGTCCTTTGATGAGAAAGGTGCTTCTGATGCTTGAAGGCACGGTCGACGTTCCAATCCCTCCTTGTCCTACTTCCTTCCTCAGTGTCATCTGAATTGTCTTCGCAACTGCACTTACCACCACCAAAAGCTGCTCGGATTAGAAATGAATAAAGTTGTTTTCACTGTAGGAGCAGAGCACATGTTTCTAGGTTTATTCATCCAACATGCATTGTCTGTCTGTAGTGTCAATAGAACTAAGTACCCTGTTCTGTCCAATGCAATTCTTCGTTCTTATAGGAAGTAAAACTACTTTTGAGTTCATTTCAACAATTCCTTACCGTCCTGTGGTGGCAGATTTAGTGTATCAGTATGCATCCTATTACCTGCCACGAATTTCAAATAGCGTAGAATGCGTATTGAGGGAGAGGGGGCAACAATATTTCGCCTATGAACAGATTGTCCATTTAAATGTTCGATGCTGTTCTTACTGATCAGCTGACCTCATGCGAAAGCCGAAAGGTTTATCGAAATTCAAAATTATTCAGAGACGTGAAATAATATGCCCTAGTTTCTTTTTTGGCCCTCCTAAACATGATCCACACCTACTTTTTGTTTCGAGAATATGAGATTCAAATGAGTTAGGTTTCTGTATACTTGGAGAGGATATCAAACTTTTCTAGTATGATTAGTGCGTTGAGAATCAAACTCGAGTTTGATTCAAGAAAGTGTACTTCTCGTTCCTTTTCATTGCTCACCTCAACTAATGCAATTCCATATCTAAACATTAACATTTCGTCTTTTGAAAAATAACAAGCACAGAAATTAAGCATGTTTATAGAGAAGACCCAAAGAGGTGATCTATTCTTGCAGAGCTTTTCTCTTTTCATTGTTTTAATTGTCTCTTTAATTACACATAGATGAGGTCAGACGTACCTTCTCTTTTCCCTCTTCTAATAGAATTCACCATCATTGTATAAGAAACAAAAACTCCAAAGACCATTTCTTGCAGTCCCTTTGAAGCTTTACTTCTTTCTATGATTTTCACTCGTGAATCAGCTTCTTTATATGGGTTGTTGAACTTGATGTCCTCAAGGACACAGTTGTTTGTGATTTGTGCATCGGCTAAGTCCAATTTTATGGATGATTTAGAATGTATAAATAGTGAATATGTGCACTATTGCAGATAGCTGCAATGGCTAATCAAGGATTGTTGAAGCTGCTAACTTACCAATGTAACCCACTACTTTGCTCATAGAGCCCGCACAATACGCAGGTGGACCGACTAATTTCGTCCAGAGCTATTCGAAGATGGGTCGGAGAGATGAGCCATTTCAACTCTAGCTTTATTTCTCAGAGCTTGGAATACAAGATTACTGCTCACTTTTCACTTTTTTTTATTTATAGGGTTAATAGCTCGAAAAACCCCTAATTAGTACAACTGTGATAAATTTACCTCAAACTAATTTTTTACCACAAAAAATCCCAAACTGGTATACTTGTGACAAATTTACCCTCAACCCCAAACTAGTACATTTATGATGGATTTACCTTCCGTTAGTTTTCATTAAATTAGACTAATACAACGAAAAATCACAAATTGGTGCACATGTGACAAACGGAGGGTAAAATCCCAAACTATTACACCCGTGCCATGTGTTATCCAACTAAATAATTTGATGATAAAATTTAACGGAAACTAACGGAGGGTAAATTTGTCATAGGTGTACCAGTTTGGGATTTTTTATGGTCAAAAAATCAGTTTGGGGTAAATTTGTCACAGTGTACCAATTTGAGGCTTTTCGTGGTATTAACCCTTATTCATATTGTAGAGTCCACTAATGCAAAATCAAGTCCTTCACCTATTTTACCATAGTAACTAGGGGTGTCAAAAACCAAATCGAAAACCGAACCGAAATTTTGTGCTTTTTCGGTTCCGTTCGGGTTTCAGTTCGGATAATGAAAAAAATATCCATTCTTTTCTTCCGGTTCGGTTAACCAAACTCAATTGAAATTCTCAACAAAAATTGAATGCTCTTTCTCATCCCTCTTAAAATTGCCATGAGAAATCCTAATATCCGGTTTTCTCATCCGAATCGAAATCCGAATCAGGGTTTTCAGTTCAGTTCATATTCGATTCGGCTCGAGATTCAGTTCAGTTCAAGTGTACACCCTAACGGTACGATTCGAATTTTTAAAAAATCCGAACCTAACCGTTGACACCCCAAAAGGTTTGCAACTTGGGTATGATTTTATCTTTTTTTTCGACATTAGTATACCACTACGAAGCATAAACAATATCAGTTTCTTTGCCCCACAAGCTATTCAAAGGCATTTTACCGGTTATGGCCACTTCACTATTCTTTCTCATTCCATTTGCATTCATGTTCCCAACAGCAACTTCGCAAAACCAGACCCATGATAAGCCTTGGCGCTTCTCTCACACCCACCGCCAAATTCTTCATGGCCCTCACCTTCCAGTCTCTTTGCGTTTGGTCAGAGAGGCGATGTCTGGTCAGTAGGAGTTGTCTTTCCGGGAACTAAACCTGTGGTCTGGCTGCCGTCGAGACAGTCCTGTTCCAAGCAAATTCATCATGCATTTCACTACGGATGGGAGGCTTGTTCCGCAGTCAGCACTACCAGAATAAACTTTTGTAGCTACTCCTAGAGATATTGCTGTTTCAGCTTCTATGCTCGGGACAGGCAATTATGTTCTCTACAACTCTAAGAAGGACAAAATATGGCAGAGTTCGATTCACCGAAGGATAGCATTATGGTAGGCCAGCATCTATCGTCAGGTGAAGAGATGCTCTCGAGCGGTTCCGCCACTGATCAATCAGAAGGCATCTTGCACCTCGACATGGAAAAATATCCGGTAAATAATCCAGACACACCGCCATATGCTTATTGAGCAACCGCGACGTATGGAAGAGGCGATAATGTGGCGCTCTATCTTGACAATGACAGATATTTCTACCCTATAGAACACCACAGTCAAGATACAAGGAGCATCACCAGAGGAGGGCCTCCCAAAGAAGGAATGATCTGGATAATGAGAACCAATGCAGATGGGATTTTATGGTTTTACTTGTACAACATAACCAAGAAAGGTAATCTGTCCACTCTGTGGTCATCCACTGATGACAAATGCAGCCCCAGGGGCATCTCCGGGCTCAATGGGTTCGGTGCAAATAAAGTTCGAAATGACGACTTGTGCCTTACAGGATGTCGTGCCTAAATCATATTCTTACAAAGAGATGAATGACTGGAGCTTTTGCAGAAGAAATCGACGAGGGAGCATATGGAACAGTCTACAAAGGAAGGCTGCTGAATAGCTACAAAGTTGTTGCTGTTAAGAAACTAGAAAATATCTCATCCGATGCGGAATGCGGAAAGAAGACATCAGGCAGGTGCTGATTGAAAGAACTGTATAGAAGACCCAAAGAGACCACATCAAGCGGAGAAGATAAGTGCGAGAGCATGTTTACCGACTGATCGAGAAACAACAACTGGCTCGAGAACCATCAACCTTGCTATCGAATCGCGTCTGTACAAAACACAACATGGTGAAATGAAAACCCATGCTGCACTTTCTAGTGTGCTCCAGCATCGGTCTGGCTACAACGATTGCACATCAACAAAAATCACACAGCTTTAGTTCAAAAGCACCGTGATCTTTACATGGTAAGACAAAAGAGACAACCTTGACACAGCAACTCCTGAATCTTGGTGCCGTCTGGGTCTCTGTTGAGGACTCGAATCTCTTCTGTATGTTGTTCTGCTATCTGGGTATGCGCCATCATCTCCTCTCTGCCGCCTACCCACCATTTGCCATCATTTCGAAGCTTTCGTGAGCGCATCGAAAACGCTCTTGACAGTCACCTCCTCCACGATCACCACCTTGTCCCTCGATTTCGAGCCAGACCCTATCGAAACCTGCCTCTTCTTCACCCCTAAAACCTGCCTCAGAGAACAAGAACGCAAAGAAACAGAGAATCTTCAAAAGACAAAAAAAAAAAAAAACCAATCTCTGCAAATTTCACACTCGACATCGCTCTTCATCTCGGCAAATCTTCGCTCATATAATGCAACAGCCACACACAGAGACCGACTCGTCGCGTTCAAGAAGAAACGAACCGAGCTCATGTACTCGAGGAGCGCCGCGTTGGCCTCCCCGTCCTTGGCCGGCGCGTCGATCTGGACTCCCACCGCCTCGTCGCCGAGATCTTCGCACGCACGCACCAAAGCAACACGGAATCAGAACAGAAGAGAGGTTACGGAAGCGGGGAGGAGGAGGGGGATCGGACCTGTGATGGACGCCGACTTGGAGCCGGGCTTGGCGTGGACGGTGATGGCGACGGAGGAGGGAGGGACGGCGCGCAGGCAAGAAGGGAAGCTCTCGCCGGAGCTGCCGCCGCCGCCGTCGACGGCGGAGGAGGACCGGGTTGAGTGGGCCGAGCTCGGCTGCGATTTGCTCTTCCTCGCCGGCGGCATCGCTTCGGATGCCCGCAAATTTGGTTCTCCGCGTTGCAATAGCAGAGCAGCTCCGTTGCTGAAATTACCTTTTTTTTGCTTTTGGAAATATATAAAGTTTAATAATATAATCTTTATATTTATACCTGGTTTTCATATAATTAAAAGGTACTAATCAAATTACATTTTAAAATTTCGACCAAAAAATTACATTCGAAATTCAGATAGATTTAAGAGTTAATTTAACCTTACTGGCTATTAAAATTAGATAAGATAACTAATCTATGATCGGAGAAAATTTAACTTCTAAATTGATTAAGTTGTTCATTTGTGTGGAAAAACTTAACTTTTCTGCTATGTAGTGTGATTTACCATTTTTATGTGAAATAACTCCTTAAAGTGGTTATAAGTTACTCTGTGGGTGAGAAACTTTTGATATACGAAAATAAGTAATTTTACAAAGTATCTTTTCAAAATAAGGTTTTCAACTTTTTCGATTGAAAAAAATGTGACTGAAAAAAATGTTTGATAATAACTATAACTTGTTTGATGATCCAATTTAGGGTTGAAAATTAAAAATGCCAACACTTAATGAGATTAAACTCGTTTGATAATATCAAATAAATTTGACTTAAATAATTGAATTTAGTCAAAATTCTCTTATTCTCGAAAGTAAAGGAGAAGTTACTTAACTCCTTCAATAAAAAAAAAATTAATTTATGACAATTGAATTCTTGTCAAATACATGAATAAAACTTATCAGTAACAGGGTATTTTTATGTTTGAGAAGAGATCAACAATATTTGGTTATCACCCACCCATCGGTGGCCGCGTTGGTTTGCGCTCAGTTCCTTTCACGAGAGGTCCTGGATTCAAATTCGCCCATCGGTGATTTAAGTGGGGGGTCGTGGCGGTGGGATGCTGCGCTAGCCCCTCTCGAGGACTAGTCGGGCATCACCGCTGGTTCGAGCCCTAGCTCGCCGGCCGCGCGGACACCTCGGTTATCAAAAAAAAAAAAAAACAATATTTGGTTATCGATTTTCACAAATCAAAGAACAATTTTTTGTTCCTATTTTTAACACTTATATACATCAGCACTTAAAATTCAGTATTTTAATTTTCAGCACTTAATTTCAATTTTACCAAACAGCCTTTGCTTAGTAACCTTGAATTACGTAAAATAAAATTTGATCTATCTATAAAAGCTTTTCATGTGAAAATAAACAAATTTTATCACTCTCAATGTAGTAAAAATGGAAAAAGCAAGAAATTCTATGTGGCTAGTAATAAACCGGTTTCCAAATCAGAAAGTATCTGTATTGATGTCTATAGTGATATTCATATAGGTATATCTTATGTACATTGAACTTAGCGGCAAACGAGAGAAGAGTCTTTTGCCTGAAACAAAGATACATTACCCTGAAAGTATATATATATTAAGATATTTTTTTTGTCGCTATTAAGATATTTTTTTCACATATGGTCTCCTAAAGTTAACTTTGGCTCAATATACAATGTGACCCTAAACTTTTAATTTATTCAATGTGGTCCTGAACTTTAGTCAAATATTCAATGTGGTCCCAAAACTTTTAATTTGTTCAATGTGGTATCTAGACTTTTAGTACATGCTCAATGTAGTCTATGAATTATATGAGATTGTTCAATATAGTCTTTGATCTTGAATTAATGGAAGGGTTACATTAAATGTTTTCATATAATTTATGGACTACATTGAACATATACAAAAAGTTCAGAGATTACGTTGAACAAATTAAAAGTTTATGGATCACATTGAACAAATTAAAAGTTCAATGACCACATTGCATATTGGGTCATAATTCAGGGACTATTTGTGTCCTTTTTCGTATTTAAATTTCAAAAAATTACAATATATATTAATATTAATCCACATTGACTTTTAAGTATAATGAAATTTCTATGAATTTCGTATTTCAAAAGCAGCTAAAATGCATGAGTCGGAAGATTCTGATTAAGCAAAAAGTATAGAATGAAAAATCAATCTAGACTGGCAAAGGAAATCTCAAGCCTCGATGCCGATTTGAATTAAGATGGAATGGAAGATGAAAATCACCAACACATCTGAATTGGGTACAAATACTTATGTTCATCTGCTACTGAAAATTCAAGAATCGAGGCCACACGCCTTGAGAGTGATCCTAAGCACACTGTGACTCAAAATTATTGTTACATTGCATGCATCGATGACGAGGAACCGCGACGAGATCCGAATTCGAGTTCATACAGCAGCGGCGGTTGGACACGGAGGAACCGATATTTCGGTCGTTCCGTCCAGCATCATCACCACGGATTTCATCGAAGGGCGAAGAGCCGGCTCGTCCTGAATGCACCATAGGCTCACTTTCACCAGCTTCTCCAACAACCACTTATCGACTTCCTCGCCCGGGGCCAACTTGTCCAGCTCTCCATCCCTGAAATGCCTGTAAGCCCAACTGGAAAGAACGATCTCCTCAGGAGTCGGTGCGTTGACATCCATGTGCCTGCGACAGAATACGATCTCCAGGAGCATGATCCCATAGCTATAGACATCTGCCTTCACCGATATCGGAGTGCTTTTGTGCCATTCTGGCGCCATATAGCCTCTCGTCCCTCTGATGACTGTGAAGGTCCGTGTTTGATCCGGCATCAGCAGCTTGGCCAGCCCAAAGTCGGAGATTTTGACTGTCCAGAAGTCATCCATCAGGATGTTCTGGGGCTTAATGTCGCAGTGTATGATGGGCGTATCGCACTCCTCGTGCAGGTAGAGGATGCCCCGGGCAATTTCCGAGGCGATTCTCATCCGCTCGTTCCAATCAGGACGCCTTTCAGATCGGAAGAGCAGATCTGCAAGGGAGCCGTTGCTCATGAATTCGTAGACAAGTAACCTCTTGGATGCCTCAGCGCAGAAGCCGAGCAACCGAACCAAGTGCCGGTGATTAGTGGCACCAATGACGCGCATTTCCGCGCGAAATTCCCTTTCACCTTCATTGACCAGCTTCTCTAGTCTTTTGACAGCAACAGCTCTTTTGCCCCTGTACAAGGTTCCTTTGTAGACAGTGCCGAAAGATCCCTTACCCAACTCTTCCTTGAAGCCGTTTGTTGCTCTCTTCAGCTCCCTGTAAGAGAATGGCCTCAGAGTAAGTTCCTCTGTCAAGCCAAAAATTCCACTTTCTACTATCTTCTTGTACTCAAATACTCGCAACTTGAAGGCGAAAAGACCAGCGACTGCAAGGGCGATGCACGAGCATGTTGTAAGGCCTATGGTCACCGAAAGTAGTTGGATTGTTTCTTTCTTGCTGTTGACTTTTACCTGCACCTGTGAATCAGAATTATTGGCAGCTTCGATACCTTCTACTCCCATCTTGAAAAATGCTCTGAAGTGTCCAGAAACTGTCCGAGCATACATAAGAGGAAGCTTTTGTTTCATACAATTTCCTTGATCGAAGTCGTATAAAGCTACCTCACAATCGCAATCTTCCAAACATGACATGTTGCAATCCGCTACTTCCATTGTCACCTGAAAATAGGGAGGGTCCTGCCAGTACACATTGTCAATGGATTTGGAGGTAATCGATGATAAATTCTCTTTGGAGTCCCTGCACCATTCTTCCTTGAAGTTCCTCTCGCACCCACTAAACTGGTTCTTACTGTCAACATAATCCGTACCAGGAAAACACCGACATACGGGTTGCTTGCCCTCCATAGAACAGTAACTATTAAAGCCACATAAGCCCTTCACGCTGCACTTATCATCTGGTCGTGTCCACGTTGAGGACACCACATCGTCGCCATTTTCAGTGAATATGTGAGAATACAATTGGAGTAATCCCCCCGAGTCAAGTATCAAACGGTAGATTGTCGAATTATGGTACACTGAAGGAGTATCCGGTTCTGCTATAGGTTCAGGTTGTCCCCGTTCGTCTAGTAGAATAAGTGTGCCAGTGAAATTGAGATAAAGGTGAAAATGAACAGGCTGCAAGTAACAACAAGTACCTGAAGCCCAGTAAGCATCTATGCCAGAATTCTGAGTATGCTTAGGGTAGAGAACGATGTTACCATCAGATTGCATACTGAGACGAAACCTTCCTGTTGAATGATTAGTCCCAGATACGCTTGAATATAATTCAGTACCAGTGGGTATGGACTGGCCTCCAAGTAAAGTATCAGTAGGAAAATTGAAACTTTGCCAGATGACCTTAGAAAGCTGGTTATAGAGGATGAAATTCCCTGAATCGTCCATGGCTGCACATGAAGCTCTATCTGATGAGTTAGCAATCCGTTCAGTCTTCCCAGGACTAATTTTAAGAACGAGCCAACCATCACGGGTTAATTCCAGTGCAGCATCTGAGGACACCGGCGGATCGTCTCGATTTGCTGTCCACACAGTGGTGTTCTGTGATTTACGAACCATCCAGATCCCCACTTTAAAGCCACCGCCTTCCTGGTAGAAGCCGAATGCAAAGCGACCAGAAGGCGAGGTCCAGGAAGTGGGATCAGTTATGGGATTGATTGCTGAGTCTAAGCTTATCGAGCACAATTCAGATCCAGCCGCTACGTAATACCCTAAAAGTAGAAGATCAGTATGATGTACGAAGAAGCCATGAGCAGTATCTGTTAATAAAGTGGGAATTCACTTCTGGGTATGCGCGAGTCGTAAACATAACTTCCTACTCCGTTTAAATGTTGTAAACTGAGAACTTTCTTGTGGCTTGCTTGCAAGACTCTGGTGAGTCACGTTGACTCGCAAAGTCATTGCTACTCGAAAAAACAAGAAAAATGAGAATCCAGCCAAGCATCTTTCACCCCTATTGACTTGCAGGACTCGCCAACTAGTGTGACGACAAGTCTATTGTGATGTCTGGACCAGTGGAAATAAAGAACATAGCTGTCACAATTACGTGAGGAATTACAAGTTAAACGCTTATCAGAGAAAATAAGCCATGTATAGGTGTAACTTTTGCAAAGACGTAGAATAACTATTTTATCAGGTAATAATCACCCCCACACATGAAAATAATACTCACCGATTTCCCCAGAAAAAACCTGTCCAGTTGGATCTAAACAATACATATGTCATTAATTTTTTGGAGAACGACTTGTTCTGTTCTAGTAGAAAGACATTGGCCAGAAATTATTCAACTGAGACTCGATGATAATTTCCTTGGAATATTGCTGTCCCAACCAATCTGCAAATGAGCCAGGAAACTATATTGAACAAGGTCAACTGTCCAATAGAATCAATACCCTTTCTGTCCGTTCAGGTCCATAACCTGAGTAAACAATATTTTAGCCAACAATATGAAGATTAATTTGATGAAGATGTCATCGGTGCCGGAGATTCCAAGTAATCCAACTGACACTCAAATGGTCTCTTCCTAGAATATTGCTGGCCCAACAGTAAAATTTAAGAGGACATGACCAATAATTCTACAGAATGAATACCTCCTACAGTTCCACACTTTCATAACCTGACTGAACAGTATTTTCACTGGCAATGTCTAGATTAATGAAGATTTAAGTTTTATTGGAAAGCACTTGAGTGTTGGGGCGTGGTTCATGCTCCCCACGAGCTAAAGGGCTTGTATAGTTTAAGCTCGTATTTTATTGGTAGTTTGGGCTTGGGTCCATGAATAGCTGCTAAGTGTATATAATCTCTTTCTCCTGTAATTGAGAATTATAACAAAGAGGTGCGAGGTGTTAATTATAGTGAAATCCTCTGCTGGACGTAGCTCTAGTTTAAGTGTGAACCGGGATAAAACCTTTCTTTTTCTCGCATTTACTCTCTATTTCGTTGTGTTTGTGTGCCTAATCCTAACATCGAGAAGGTCACCCAACTATGTCATTCTCGCTCTTCAAATCTGTTATGCAGAAGTTTCAATTTTGATGAGTATGCTTGGTCAGTTTGTTGCCAAACTGTACCTTAAACTTAGATGAACAATAGTGTGTATCAGTAATCCCACCAAGATAAGTCACTATTCAAGAAGCATGAACTCTCTAAAGCAAGTGGTCAGAATTCTATTTCCGAAGTTGTCCCTAGCTTCTTACTACCGAATCAATTTGATTTTTCCTGTCATCAGTAACAAATCAACTAGAATCAAGCCAATCATACCGAGAGCTTGAACATATCAACAATTGTTAACACACAGTTACACCTTGGATGTACTACTCAACACATGATAGTCATGCAAACATAGTTTGCTGATAAACCAAACCAGTTATTTCTTAATGAAAAAAGAGATAACAAATGAATAAAAGGGTGAGATTTAAGTTTTTAAGGACTTCTTTCAAAGTCTTTGATCATATATCTCACTTCTACGTTCAAACTAGCCTTACACCAATGGAAGGAGAAGGCCATATTTCAGAAAAGGTACAATAACTTATACATATGATACAGACTAAGAGAAAACTGAGGACATTGTTTGGAAGGGGGGGTCCGGGATATCCTTGGTGCCTTCCAGCATCAATATAGCATCTTTGATTGAAGGGCGAAGACTTGGATCATCTTGAATGCAAAGGAGTCCCACTTTCACCATCTTTTCTAGGCTTTTCATGTCCACTTGTTCATCATCCATAATTAGTTTTTTCAGCTCTCTGGCAACATAACACTTATGTACCCATGTGGAAAGAAGCACTTCATCTGCCGTCGAAACATCGACCACCATGTTGCTTCGGCAGCACACGGTTTCCAATAGCACAACTCCAAAGCTATAAATATCAACCTTTGTGGACAATAAGGCATGCTTGTGCAGTTCAGGTGCTGCGTATATTCTCTTACCTTTGGCATTATAGAGAATTCCTGTTTGATTTGGCGCTAAAACCTTTGCTAACCTGAAATCTGAGATCTTTGCCGTCCATGATTCATCGATTAGAATGTTTCGAGTTGTAATAGCACCATGAATGATTTGAAGATCGCATTCTTCATGTAGATATAGGATTCCTCTTGCAACTTCCATTGCAATTCTTACTCTCTCTCTCCAGGCCAGCTGGTTTTCAACATTGAACAGAAGATCCGCGAGGGGTCCATTGTTCAGGTATTCATAGACAAGAATTTTCCTAGAGTTTTCCTTGCAAAACCCGAGCAGCCGAACTAAGTTTTTGTGATGAGTACGTCCAACTGTAGCCATTTCTGCTCGAAACTCCTGTTCTCCTTCTTCCCCTTCTCTTTCTAGCCTCTTCACTGCTACAGGCCTTTTACCATCAGATATAGCCCCTTTGTACACCGTCCATAGGGAGCCCTTGTGAAGCTTTTCCCTGAACCCACTGGTGGCTTTCTCGAGCTCGTTAAAAGAAAAAGATTGCAGGGTAAACTCTTGCACTGAACCCAAAGCAGGAAGTTTGACCAGCCTCTCATACTTATGAACTTGGTAATGATACATCGATAAGCTGAAGACTGCAATCAGGCAACACAAAACTGCAAAGGAACCCAAGCTTATTGATAAGATCAAAATAAGCCTCTTCTTTCCCTTGGTCACATGTTGATTGGGCCGCTTTGGTTTTCCAGGAGGGGCAGGCATTAATTTCTTGATCAAAACTGTGGAAGATCCATTCGGAATTGTAGCTGCATAAATGATGGGAAGCTTCTTTTTCTCACAGATATCATTGACGTGCAAAGCAGCTTCACAATGGCAGTCGTCTGAACAAGACCTGCTGCATTCTTCAAGGGAAAGTGGCATCACAGAATAAGGATGGCCCCCTATCGTAGTACTGTTCATTGGGACAATACTAAAAGACAAGGCAGACTCTTCATCCCTGCAGAGTTGTTCGTAGTCGGACCTCCTGTAACAGCCAGGGGAATCATGACTCTCATCAACAAAATCAAACCCTGGGAAGCAATGACACCCTGCCTTTTGGTCCGTGACTTTGCAGAAGCTGTTCGGTCCACAAAAACCTTTTATAACACACGGGGAATCCAGTGCTGACCATTTTACCGACACGTTTGAGCTCAAGGCATCACCGTTAATGAAACTGTGCGAATAGAGCCTGAAATTTCCATCATAATCCAGCGTTGCACGGTAAAGTAGAATGCTCTTCTGATCTGAAACTGAGCTATTAGCTTGAAGCGTTACAAGCCCATCCTTAAAGAACAAGGCTACTCTGTCCGGGACCAATGCGTATAAGTATGGGACATTGCTTTCTGTTTGGGTATTGGTGGCCCAATATGCATCGGTATCAACATTAGTGTAATTAACACCGTATGCAACGAGGTTGCTATCACCCTGCATTACAACATGAAATCGCCCACTCGAGTGGTCTACAGGAGATTTGCTTGAAACCAATGCCTTTTGATTTAACAGTTGTTGACCAACTACAAGAGTGTCCGTTGGGGAATCAAAGCTTTGCCAAATTACAGCAGACGCTCTATAGATGACAAAATTACCAGAATCAAGCATCGAAGCTGAGTCTGCCGGCTGTTGCCATGAAATAATCGGCTTGGCTAGTCCTTCCTGATAGGTTCGAACAACGAGCTCATAGGTGCTGAACACAATAGAAGAACTAAAATCGACAAGAGGATCATCTCGATTCGCTGTCCAAATGACAGTGTTATTAGGATTACCAACAAGCCAGATTCCCACAGCATATTTGCCACGTTCCGGATAAAACCCGAAGGCAAAGAGACCAGAAGGCGAAAACCATGAAGTCTGGTTGGTGCTTGGAGAATGTGTAGAACCAACAGCTATCAAATTGGAGGTATCAGAGGTCCTTCGTTGGGCACTGACAGTGACAGCCGAGGAAAGCAATAATAGGAGGGAAGCAACTTGCAGAGAGGCCATCACAGAGAGAGAGAGAGAGAGAGCAGAAAAGTTCTACAGGAATCTTGAAAACCTGTTATCAGTTTTGTGATTAAATAGAGAGCTAAGGAAGAAGAAGCATCTGGGAAGGACACTGGAAGTACCGCTTACCAAAGGAGACTTGACTGCACTTCACAGAAAAAAACAAAATTCGGTTCTTCCCCACTACAATCTTCATTGGAGAGGAACAAACCTTGTAATATTCGTATCTTGAAAAAAGAAGAAAATTAGTGGTGGGGCCCATAAGAAAAAGAAAATAAAAAAGAAAGAAAGAAGAGTAAGAAGACTCGGTCAATAAAGCAGCACAGTGAACTGCATTTTTTAAGACCGAGAGCTCGCACAAGCGGAAAGAAAAGGAAAGAGGAAAAGGGAAAGAAGGAGGAGGAGGAAGAGGAGGAAAGGGAAAAGATAAGAAGGTTTTGCGCCGTGGGATCTCGTCAAATCGATTCAATTTCGTATTGCATCGCCCGCTAAGTATTCATGTCCATTGTTCGTCCAATCGAAGTAATTTTTGGAGTTAGAGATTTGAGCCGCGAAATTCGATTTTTGAGTTATTAAGCTATGGAGTTTTATAGAAATTGTGGTTTATGGCGTTGTGAAGTCGTGGAGTTCGACGGGAGGCGTTTTAAAGAAATGAGATCCATAGACTTTTTATATATGTTCAACTATATGAAAGAAATGTTTAAGATTGTCCATTAACTTGAATCAGTGGAAAGATAACATTTAACATTTTTATAGAGTTTAAGGATTAAATTAAACATGTACAAAATGTTCATGGACTACATTGAACAAATTAAAATTTCAAGGATCACTTTGCACATTGAGGTAAAGTTGAGGGATCACGTTACACATTGAGCGAAAGTTCAGGATCATTTATGTCATTATTCCTTTTCTTTTTTAGCTTGCAAGCTACGAAGCCCCTTTAATTCTCGCTAGTGTACTCAAGGCTAGTAAGAGAAAGGAATGGAAATGGATGTATTATATATATAAGCGCAGAAACGAGAAATAACAAAAAAAATTTGTTTGTTAACCAGCTCAAATGACTTGTCCACCCCCTAATACCTCAAATTAACTCGGAGAAAGTGATGCAATATCCGGTGGAAGAAGAACTGCCAAACTAATACACACGCGACACATTTACTCCAGATTAATTTTTATGTAACAAAGAATCCTAAACCGGAATACAGATGCCACATTTAACCCAAATTGATATACACGCGTCACATTTACGCCAAATTGTGGTAAATTTGGGATTTTTTTAGGGTAAATGTGATACAGGTGTATCAGTTTGGGATTTTTTGCGACATAAAAATTATTTTGGGAAAAACGGGTGTACTAATTTGGGATTTTCGGTGGTATTAAATCTTAATTTAATTAGAATCCCGCTTCGAACGCACCTTAACTTTTCTTCAACCTAAAATACTAGAAACTTTCAAAAGAAACAAATATTTTCTTATTTTCTTTACAATCTGAATTATATATCAAATTTTGATGGAAAAACTATTGCTTTGAAATAGCGTAATATCAATGTGTGAAATCATTCATCCAAAATTCCTCAATGATTTTGACACCCCAAAATTCTCGAGAAGTTGAGGGGTTCGGAGAAGTTGCTAACAGCTTGCATGGATGACTTTGTGAGGTCATCTTGACTTGCCGTCTCTCTCTCTCTCTCGCTCCTGGCACACAGACGAACCGAATGTCTTCCAGTCTCCCCATGTGCACGAAAAGGAAGAAAAACCAATACCACGAAGATCGATCAATATCCTGCCCCACCCGGGGAAAAAATGCTTGCAAGGAAAACTTATCAGTGATTTGAAGGTCAGCCCAAATTAACCCATTTTAATATAATGCAGATCTAAAAAGTCAGTGCCTATAAAATTCAGTTCTTCCCTGACTACAATTTTCATTGGGGAGGGACTAACCTTATGTGCTCTTCCAAATCAATGCCTCTTCAAAGTCCTTAAATTTAAAATACGCGTTTGAAAGTATTAGAAAGATTCAATGTCAGCATACAGCAGCATAGTTTTAGTTCTGCTGTACAACACTTTCTTAGATGCCCTTGTGTCAGTCGAGCTAGGTCAAAGACGGGGTGTATGGGGGCATTCATCGAAGAATTGCTACAGAAGATACTTTCTCAAGAAAACATGTTACCATGTAATCGAGTACTGTGAGCATTTGGCAGCATTCAATTGAAAAAGAGCCAGTTCGTTCTTAGTTGCACCCTTGTTAACTTTCGCTTTTGTATAACAAAGGAG